GAGAAGTGAGGGTTCTGCAGAGGGCGGGGGGGGGGGGGGGGGGGGGCGCAAGGGCCCCACCTGGGCTGCAGCTCCTGGGGGGAGGATTCTGCTGGGCTGGTCTCTGGGGGACAAGTGGGGGCATCTTCGCCTCCGCCCCATGGTTAGTCTGTCAGTCACAGGGCACCAGGGGCCCCTTGTGTTCTGGCCAGAGGAGATGAGCCCGCAGGGGCTCCCTGCCTTGTCCACAGGCCCCCGGCCTGGGACCACTTTTGGGCAACAGCCATGTGGCCCCTCCGTCCTCCCGGCGCCCCTCCCCAGAGCCCGGGCCCCACAGCTGTGCCTGGCGTCCTGGGGGCAGCGGGGTGTCTGAGCGGCCCCTTGTCGGCAGCACGAAGGTGGAGCTGGTGCGGGCCCACCTGGGCACCGCGTCCCTCACGGGCGTCGGCGGAAACCCAGTGAAGATGGGGCTCAAGCGGGCGGTGCTGCACCCCCAGTACAACCCCGGCATCCTGGACTTCGATGTGGCCGTGCTGGAGCTGGCCGGGCCCCTGGGTTTCAACAAGTACATCCAGCCTGTCTGCCTGCCCCTGGCTATCCAGAAGTTCCCCGTGGGCCGCAAGTGCATGATCTCCGGCTGGGGTAACACACAGGAGGGAAACGGTGAGCTCCCCACCAGGCTCTCCGGTCCCACACCTGCAAACCCCTCTCCCCTCCGCGCCCCCCAGGGTCGCAGGCTCTGGCGCACGGGCAGTGTGGCTGCTTCATAAAGGTTTATCGGCGCCCAGCCCATCCGCTGGTTTACAGACGGTCTCTGGGGGCTTTCCTGCTACAGGGGCAGAGCTCGGTCGTTCCAACAGAGACTGTCTGGCCCGCAAAGCCATGATTATGTGCTCTGTGGCCCTTGTGCTGTACCCTGCAGGGACCCCCGGGAGTTAGTGCTGCGTTTGGCTCGTTTGTCCTCCCTGCAGGTCACCCAAGGCGCTAGGGAATCTGCCCGGGGACGTTGGTGAGAGTCTAGGGTGCCGAGTAGGAGCACGGGGTCCGCCCCCTTATCACTACACGACCGCACGGATCCCTGCGGCCCCGAGGGGCTGTGGTTCTTTATCCATAGGGCAGGGACTCCCCTCCCCGGGTGGGTGCTGCCACAGCGTAGCCGACGTGGAAGAGGGATCGCTCTGTGAGTGAGCTTGTGTGGGGCCTCCTCTCCTTGGCAGCCACCAAGCCCGACATTCTGCAGAGAGCGTCTGTGGGCATCATAGACCAGAAGGCGTGCAGCGCACTCTACAACTCCTCCCTCACGGACAGGATGCTCTGCGCCGGCTTCCTGGAGGGCAAAGTGGACTCCTGCCAGGTGAGCATCCAGGGGGCCGCCTGACGTGTTCGCAGACGGAAGGGAAACAGTTTCCAGTGCGTCACAGCGAGCAGGGGAACCCTCAAGAGAACCCGAATGCCTGTAAATGTGTGGTTTAGAGAAATTGTCATATTTCCAAGCAGAAGATGAGGTGGGTGTGCATAAAAATACAGACACTAACTTGAAAATGTGCGGCATTGGGGCGCCTGGGTGGCGCAGTCGGTTAAGCGTCCGACTTCAGCCAGGTCACGATCTCGCGGTCTGTGAGGTCAAGCCCCGCGTCAGGCTCTGGGCTGATGGCTCAGAGCCTGGAGCCTGTTTCCGATTCTGTGTCTCCCTCTCTCTCTGCCCCTCCCCCGTTCATGCTCTGTCTCTCTCTGTCCCAAAAATAAATAAACGTTGAAAAAAAAAATTTAAAAAAAAAAAAGAAAATGTGCAGCATGTATTCACAGGAGAAAAAGCTAATCACAAGTTACGGCACATGTGACTGCTCTGTGTCACAGGGTAGCCAGTGAGCACCTGAGGTGTGTGTGATCCAGCTTAGGGGAAACCTGGCTCCAGAACCATGCCGTGAAGGCCAAAGAAATACACAAGTGGGGAAATGGATAGTCTTGGAAACATTGATGTGGGGCGCCTGGGTGGCTCAGTTGGTTAAACATCTGATTCGGTTTTGGCTCAGGTCATGATCTCACAGTTTGCAAGATCAAGCCCCATGTCAGACTTTGCACTGACAGCACAGAGCCTGATTGGGATTCCGTGTCCCCCCCCCCCCCACCGCTGTCTCTCTCCCTCCCCCTCCCTCTCTCTCCCCCTCTCCTCCTCTTCCTACCACGTCTGTCTTTCTCAAAAAAAACATTTTTAAAAATCTTGAAGAAATATCAATGCAAAACCCTTAATAAAATATTAGACTCAATCTAATAATGTGTTAAAAGGAAAATAAATCACAACCATAGTGAGTTTATCTCATAAAATCTAGTCTGACACAGGAGAACCCAGTAACACCACTCATCACATTAGTGGACCAAAAGGGAAAAAGGGTGTCTTCTCCAACACCACAGAAAAAGGCATCCGATACTTTTTAACAACCATTCGTAATTACGATTTTAAGAAATTCCAATCCTGTGAAAGACAACAGAAACCTACAGCCGACATCATGTTGATGGTGAAACAGAGCCTTCCATTCACACGCCAGGCGGCCTGCCGTCACCAAGGACATCTGGATTAATGCGAGAAGTCAAGAAAAAAGGAAAGCATAGGGATGTGTAAAGTGGACAAAAATGTAATGTGCAGTAACAGGACTGTCTACCAAAAAAGTAAAATAAAAACACACAGAGCCAAGTAAGAAACTACGAAGATTCAGAAGAGTCCAGCACGTCTGGCTTGATACCAGGTCCTACAAAGTCCAGGACGTTTCTTTTCCCAGCAAAAGTCAGCATCCTGGAGAAACGGATCCCACTGACGTGGGAGCAAAATCTGTGTGGTGTCTGGCACAGATGTTGAACTCCAGATGTTCAAGGTTTTCGTGGAGGATGTCACTAAGCTCTGAAGGAAACAAAAAGGTCTGAGAAACATACCATGTTCACGGACGGTAAGACAATATTATGAAGCTCTGTTTGTCTCCATTTTTTCGTATAAATCACTGCAATTCCAGGCAAAATTCCAGTAGCATTCCACCATATGACTTGGCAGGCTGGTTTTAAATTCACGCAGGAGAGCAAAGTAATGGTCCTGGTAAAGAAGACTCAGGAATGTGTGTACCGCCGGGAACAACAAAATAGGAAGCGGCGATGGCTCCTACTTCTGTGTCAACAACCAGCCCGAAGCTTAGTGACTGGGAACGAGACTCATCGATGGGGCTCCTGAACCTGCACTTTGGTAAGAGCTCAGCAGGGACAGATTCCGCCTGCTCGTCCCAGCAGAGAGGGCCAGGGCCCCAGAGGGTGGACTTCAGTAGTAACACTCAGAGGTATTGCTCACGTCCGCCAGGTTGAAGATATCGGCTGCTGCTGTTGGGGCGCCTGGGTGGCGCAGTCGGTTAAGCGTCCGACTTCAGCTCAGGTCACCATCTCGCGGTCCGGGAGTTCGAGCCCCGCGTCAGGCTCTGGGCTGACGGCTCGGAGCCTGGAGCCTGCTTCCGGTTCTGTGTCTCCCTCTCTCTCTCTGCCCCTCCCCCGTTCATGCTCTGTCTCTCTCTGTCCCAAAAATAAATAAACGTTGAAAAAAAAATTAAAAAAAAAAATATATCGGCTGCAACATAAATGTACACTCACAGGCCGCAGTTGAGGGAAATGTGGCAAATAACTTGCAGTGGGAACCTCTAGGGCAGGTTCTGGGAAGTGCACTTCTGGGTTCAAATCCTGGCTCCTCTTCCCACAAGCTCCGTGACTCCAGGCACATTACTCAACCTCTCTGGGCCTCGGATTCTTGTCTGTAAAACGGGGCCATAGTAATACCTGTCTGCTAGGGCTGCTGTGACTTGAATGAATGAAGCAAGTTGTAAAATATTACATGTAACATATTTATGTACATTTTAAAGACAGCACTACATATTTTCTAAAATTACTAATAAATGTAAAAGCATAGTGGGACCCACCAAGCTCCTAATATGTTCACTTTTGAGGAAATGGGGCCCCGGGACCAGGGGCAGGGCTGTGTCAGTCCCCACTGCCGTGTAACAAAACTCTCCAAAGCTTGGTGGTGTGAAACAGCCATTTCTTCCAATCATAGATTTTGTGGGTTGGAAATTCCGGTGGGGCCCAGTGGGGCTGGCTTGTGTGCTCCACGTGGCGTCTGCGGCCTGCAGTGGGACGGCTCAAAGGCTGATGTCCCAGGAGATTCTGAAGGGGTTTCGACTTGCACATCCAATACTGGTTGTTGGCTGGGGTCTCAGCTACACCCTACATGTGGCCTCTCCACGTGGATTCCGCCTGGGCTCCTTTCCACCTCGAAACGTGCTGGCTGGCTCCCAAAAGCAGGTAATTCAAGGCAGCAAGATGGAAGTCACCTGGCATCACTGTCCCCAAAGTTTAGGGGCGAAGGCAGCCACAGAGCTGCGCCCAGGGTCATGTGGAGAGGCAGACCCCCACCACCCTATGGGAGGAGTGCCAAGATCTCCGCGTTCAAAGAGCACATGTGGGATGAGGGAGACAGTCTCCTGCCACCTTTGGGAAAAGCAGTCTGCTGTGTGGCCTAAGCTCTATTGTAACATTCTGAGTTTTTAAAGAAAAGCAAGGGGTGCCTGGGTGGCTCTGTCGGTTAAGTGTCCGACTTCAGCTCAGGTCATGATCTCACGGTTCGTGGGTTTGGGCTCTGTGTCACGCAATGTGCTGACAGCTCAGAGCCTGGGGCCTGCTTCAGATTCTGTGTCTCCCTCTCTCTCTGACCCTCCCCCATTCATGCTCTCTCTCTCTCTCTGTCTCAAAAATAAACAAACATGAAAAAAATTAAAACAAAAAACAAAATGGGGGCGCCTGGGTGGCTCAGTCCGTTGAGCCTCTGACTCTTGATTTCAGCTCGGGTCATGATCTCACAGTCCAGGACTTGGAGCCCCGTGTCCAGCCGGCTCTGTGCAGACTACATGGAACCTGCTGGGGATTCTGTCTCTCCCTCTGCCCCTTTCCCGCTCTCTCTCCCTCTCTCAAAAATAAACTTTAAAAAAAAAAGTGTTTTTTTTTCTTTTTAAAGGAAGAGCAGTATGTTACTGGTGTAATTTTTTTTGAAACGCATAGGAAAAAGGCTGGCGGCTAATGAGCAGAGATTGGGTTTTCTGCGTTTTTTTTTTTTTTTTTACATCTCAAGAACAAAAGCAGGAAAAATTGAAGTTGAGAGAGAAGTGACTTGATCAAGGTCATGCAAGGTCTGAAGCCAGGTCTCCGGAGCCCCCGTGCCGTGTCTCCTGCTCCATTGATGGGTCTCAGCCACCCATGGGAAGGCTGGAGGGCCAGGCGGTGGCCCCTGCAGGGAAGGCGCTGCAGGGTCACAGCCAGATCTTTACTTTCTTCCTTTAACTTCCTCCCCTCTCCACCCCCCCCCCCCCAAGTCTCGGAGGAATAAGTGATCTGCATCATCGCGTGTGCTGGGGGCGGACAGCGTGTGGTCTCACGCACCATGTGAAATGATGGCCACAACAGATGTAGCTCACCTTCTCCTTCCTTCCCTTTCAGGGCGACTCCGGGGGACCCCTGGCCTGCGAGGAGGCCCCCGGTGTGTTTTACCTGGCGGGGATTGTGAGCTGGGGGGTCGGCTGCGCTCAGGCCCGGAGACCTGGCGTGTACGCTCGAATCACCAGGCTGAAGGGCTGGATCCTGGACACCATGTCCTCCGGGCTCCTCCCCACCACGAGGACCCCCGCCACCAGGCAGTCCTCTGGGACGGCAGCGGCCTTCACAGTCCCGGGAGTCCCGGCCAGCACAGCCACCCCCTCGGCCACCAGCAGGGCAACCAGCCAGCCCGCCAACATGACTGCAGCCACCGTAAGCGCCACTGCTGGGGGACAGACACCCCTCCCAGACGCCCCGAGGACCACCGTGGGCTTCCAGCCACCAGGTACTGGGGCGAGTGGAGTGATGTGCGGGTGGCAGGGGTCCCGTGTGGGTCTGCTCACGCTGTTAACGTCACAGGGGCCACAGTGCGTGGAGGGTGGGGGCAGGCTTCACCAACAGACGCTTGTTCTCACCCAGGCTGGAGGTCAGAAGTCTGTGTAGACACTGTGCTCTCCCTTGTCCGTGTCCTCATGGGACCGTCCCTGTGCGTGTTTGTGTCCTCATGTCGTCACCTGTAAGGACACCTGTCACACTGGATCAGCACCCCCCACACACACACAGTCCTGAGAGCCAGGGACACGGGCACTGGTTGGCCAGATGTATGTTGTCTAGTGGCGGATGCCTTGGCCCCAAGCCCCTGTCTGCTCCTGTGTTATTTGTTATTTAGTTAGTTATTCATTTTTAATTTTTTTAAGTCTGTTTATTCACATAGAGAGAGAGCCCAAGTCGGGGAGGGGCAGAGAGAGAGGAAGACAGAATCCCAAGCAGGCTTTGCACTGTCAGCGCAAAATTTGATGTCGGCCTTGAACCCACAAACCACAAGACCATGACCCTGGCTGAAGCCAGATGCTTAACCTACTGAGCCACCCAGGTGCCCCTATTTTTTATTAAAAAAATTTTTTACTGTTTATTTTTGAGACAGCGGGGCAGAGAGAGGGAGACACAGAATCCGAAACAGGCTCCAGGCTCTGAGCTGTCAGCACAGAGCCTGACACGGGGCTTGAACTCATGAACCATGAAACCATGACCTGAGCCAAAGCTGGACACTCAACCAACTGAGCCACCCGGGCACTCCTTTATTTTTTTAATGCTTATTTATTATTTATTTTGAGAGAGTGTGCACGGGTTGGGGAGGGGCAAAAGGAGAGGGACAGAGAGAGAATCCCAAGCAGGCTGTGCGCTGTGCCCAACATGAGCCCAATGTGGGGCTCGATCCCACGACCCTGAGACCACGACTTGAGCTGAAACCAAGAGGTGGACGCTCAATTGACGGCCACCCAGGCGCCGCTGTCTGCTCCTGTTACAAAACGGAGACTTTTCTGAGGCACCAGGGCATGTGGGGAAGTGCCCGGCGGGAGGGTCATCACGGACGTCCAGGCACCCGTCGTCCATGCTTGAAACCCTCCTCTGGGCCGCCCTGGGCCGAGCCTGCCGTGCGATGCCATGCGGCGCGGCAGGGAACCAGACGTTGGCGACGCACACACACAGTCCCTGGCAGGCAGGAGTGAAAAGGGGACTGTGCTGGCCCCAGCTGACCCCACAGGCCCCGCTCAGGGGCCCCTGGCTAAATTGGCTCAGCCCATCTTGGCAGAACGAGCCCAGAGAGATACTGACGGAGAACGTGCCTTTGAGCTCCTTCGTGCGTGACTAAAGCGTTTTTTTATTAAACAGTGATCAGAAGGTACGAACGTGTGGTGGCAGGTCCGGAGTAAAACGCCATCACGAGCGGCCAGCTTCATACTGGCTGCAGCGTCGTGGGGAACCAAGGGCAGGACAAGGCCTGGCTTCTGTGGGGCGCGGGGTGTGCTGGCGGGACCCCTGTCTTAGCAACCATCCCACTCCTGCCCTGCCAACCCTCCCCACCCCACCCCCCCCCCCGTGTCAGTTTCAAGGGACCGAGTGGTAGGTCGCAAAACTCAGAGAGGAAGTGCTGCCACAGAGGAGGGGCCCTACCAAGTAGGGTGGAGGCGGGGTGGGGGGATGGGGGAGGGCCCCGGGCACGCCGCCCCCGCCTGCCCCCAGCAGACGTGAACGTTGTGCTCGTGTCCAGATGCTGAGGGACGGAGTCTGGCTTCATTCAGGCGGGGAGCGGGTCAGCAGGGAGGGACCGAGCACGCTTCTGGGAGTCCCGGGGGTTCAGCACGTGGGGCTGCGGGCCTCTGCCGGCTGCATCCACTTCCCTTCCTTCTGGGGAGTTTCCCAGAATTCCCGGCTGTTCCAAGTCCCCATCTCCAGCATCCTCACCGACTCCCCTATAGAGACTGCGACCCAGGGGGGTTTCCCTGCTTCCCTCCTGCATCAGGGTCCCTCCCTGGGCCGCCTGGATCCCCACTGTCCTGTTCAGGGGTGGCAGGGGTGTGTGCGTCTGGTCTAACCCCAGGACACAGGAGCTGGGGGAAAGTGCTCATGGTCACTATCTTTAAGGATGTGTCGCCTTCTCTTCCCTAGTCTCTTCTCTTTCCCTCGCACACACATGGACGTGTGCACACGTGGCCCGATGAGCCTGGGTCGCTCAGGCACGGACCTGTGCCCACAAAGCCAGGTTTAGGGGCTCGCTGTAGCGAGGCAGCCCGCACACCTTCAGAACCATCGCACGGCTCCCAGACCAAGGAAGGGTCTGGGGGCACAGAGGGGGTGGATGGCATTGAAGAGAAGCAGTCTCTGTTGGCTGCGGGCCCAGTCGGCCACATGCCAGGGGTCCGGGCAAGGGTCGTCTAGACCCTTTCAGGGGGACCCAGGTCCTGTTTCCCTGGCAACACAAAGTTAAGACGGATGCGGAGAATCCAGTCCAGAACCCGCTGAGAAGTTATGCACCTGGACCGGAAAGGAGACCAAGGTCCCAGGCCAAAGGGGGTCTTCTGTTCACGTGGCTCTGGTTCCTGACGGCAGTTTCTGCTGGTCTGGGTGCGGGGAAGCTTCCAGCAGGGACACTCAGGGATACTTCACAGCTGCCGCTGCTTGTTCTTGGCAGAAACACTGTCTCTGTAGCCGGCTTTATCTGGGTCTGGCCTCCCGCCCTGGTGATTTTTACTGTTCTAATAGTCACAGCCAAGTTCTTAACTTGGCCTCCAGTGGAGGTGAGGAAGCCCCCTGGAATGGCACACATTCTCGCGTTGTTCAGCGTGGGGGGGCACTTCCAGGAGAGGAGCTGTTTCCATCAGATTCCCCAGGCCTCCTGGTCTTGGGCAAGATCCCCATGGTGTTGGCGTGTTGGGGGTGGGGCTGAGAGGGAACCGGGCAGGTGGCCCCCCCCATCTCTCCGTTCTCCCCTTCCAGCTGAGGTTGGGACAGGAAGCTGAAGGGCAGGAAAGGCGGGCTGGGGAAGGAGGACTGTTCCGGAGGCGGGAAATTCCTTGTGGGAATGATAGGGCAGGTCCCTGGGTGCCCCTATGGGTGGTAAGGGTTCCTGCAGCACCCCTTACAACCACCAGTTTGCTCTGTCTGCAGTAGTGTTCGGAGAGGGCATCTTGTGCTGGGGGAGGGGGAGTGATACATGTCACAGCCTGGAGGAAGTGCTGAGGGAAGGATACTGAGTCACACAGAACCCCAGTAAGGGGAGATGCCCAGAGAGGGCATCCAGGGCAGTGCAGGAGCTGTTGGGACAGGGAAGGGGCCTACTGGGCGGCAGCCTAGGGTGTGCAAAGGCCCCGGGGCAGCAAGGAACTTGGCTACTAGGGCAGTGGGAGACGCCTGGTGAGGAGAGGGAGGTGAGCAGAGTTGCTGGGCTGGCCCTGAGCCACGTAGGAGGCAAACCTAAAATGCATTTCAAATACTATTTGAGAAAAGCTCAGAGAAGCCTCATTTACAGGCCTAACCACCAGGCCCAGTGTTCCTGACAGCGGAGGTTTCCCGAGGCAGGTCCCCCAACCTAGTGTGGGCTCCTCCTACCCTGCGCGCTCAGGCGGGGATGCGCTCACCCACCGATCTGTCACCCGACTCCCCCGCAGACTGTGGTCTGGCACCGGTGGCAGCGATGACCAGGATCGTGGGCGGCAGCGCCGCGGCCCGCGGGGAGTGGCCGTGGCAGGTGAGCCTGTGGCTGCGGCGCCGGGAGCACCGCTGCGGGGCCGTCCTGGTGGCCGAGAGGTGGCTGCTGTCGGCGGCGCACTGCTTCGATGTGTGAGTCCGGCCGCCCCAACGCCCCTGGCCTGTGCGCTTCACTGGAGCGCCTTGTCTGAAAACTCACCGCGTCGCCTGTCCACGCTTTGGCCCCAAATGCCCTCCCCAGCCACTGGCACCCACCGCCCCAGACCGGCCCCTCCTCTATACAGCCCCTCCCCTGGCCGTGCGGCACCGCAGTCCCCCCACCCCGAACCCTGGCCATGGCCTCTCCCGGCACCAGGGGCCCAGGTCTGCAGCCACGGGCAGGGCAGGGCGGGAGCGGAAGTCTCTGGGGAACGATGGAACACTCCCACCTTGGGCCCCCCCGCTGGCACTTGGCACCAGACCCAAAGGCCACCCAGTGGTGAGTCCCCTTCCCGGTAGGGCGCTCGTAGGGTGGACCAGGCTAGGGGCCCTGTCCTCCAGAGAAACGCGCAGCGCGCCTCCCAGGGCCAGAGCCCTAATACTTGACGGGGACGGATACGCTTGTGGTGTCACCTCCGTGCGCGGTAGCACTCACTCCAGGCACGGGACCCCCGCACCCTCCCCGCCGTCCTAGGGTGAAGCGACGACAGCCCCATTTCCAGATGGGGGGGGGGGGCGCGCCCGGAGCGCGGGGATTCGGGCCGACGCCTGTCCCCGCGCGCCCCGCAGCTACGGGGACCCCAAGCAGTGGGCGGCCTTCCTGGGCACGCCGTTCCTGAGTGGCGCCGAGGGGCAGCTGGAGCGGGTGGCGCGCATCTACAAACACCCCTTCTACAACCTCTACACGCTCGACTACGACGTGGCGCTGCTCGAGCTGGCGGGGCCCGTGCGCCGCGGCCGCCTGGTGCGGCCCATCTGCCTGCCCGAGCCCACGCCGCGGCCCCCCGACGGTGCGCGCTGCGTCATCACCGGCTGGGGCTCGGTGCGCGAGGGAGGTAGGCTCGGCTGCCCCCCCTCCCCCCGCCGCGGCGAGAGGGCCCTCGGCCCACGGCTCCCGTTTCTCCCGCAGGCTCGATGGCGCGGCAGCTGCAGAAGGCGGCCGTGCGCCTCCTCAGCGAGCAGACGTGCCGCCGCTTCTACCCGGTGCAGATCAGCAGTCGCATGCTGTGCGCCGGTTTCCCGCAGGGCGGCGTGGACAGCTGTTCGGTGAGCGCACTCTGCAGCGGAAGCGGGCGCTTCTCGGGACCCAGGTCCCACACGCAGAGGGCAAGGGGGGCGTGGCGGGGCGAAGTCGTCACCGCGGCAGGACCCTCCGGCGCCGCCCTCTCAAGCCCACCAAGCAGGGCACCTTTTCTGACCCTGGAGGAATTTTCACTCGACCACCGTTTATTGGGCATCCGTTATGAGCCGGTTTCGGCGCCTCGGCATCCCCCGCCCCCCTCCCCGGCCCGGCCCCGGCGGGATGGGGACGTGGGCTGGGCAGTGACTGCCGCGTGAGGCCCCCATTCAGCCCGGGGGAAATACCGAGTGTCCATGAATGTCTGCATGAACGGGTCATCCTAAGCTAGAACCCCTTTCCCAGAAAATAAGCTCACGAGGAAAAGGACCCGGGCCCAAGGGCTACTATGGGGGAGGTAGTGGCCTGCTCTTAAAGCCTTTCCTCTCCTTCCCTCAGGGCGACGCCGGGGGACCCCTGGCCTGCAGGGAGCCCTCTGGCC